TGCATTTTAGTGCTGATGATGAAGGGACTTCTGCAGCTTTACCGTCGAAAAATATTCCAGGTCTGTTATACTGCGTATTAATACGAAAAATTCCTTATATTGGTAAACAAAACTCGATTTATGTAATACGGTGTCATGGTAAAAAAAAAAGATTACATTTTTAACATCGACACCGTTTCCATACTCCCATGTACATGTCCAGATGTAAACAGCTCATAGGTACCCTCTCTTATGTCTTTAAAATCCGCCCTGCTTTCCAGAAAATAAGACAGGATGGTTCCAATATTAAATTTCGTCAATATCTGTGGCATCATCCCTGTTGAATAGGCATTTTTCAACTCAATAAACGAAGCTGAAGTAGTTGGAACAGTTGATGCTATCGATTGGATATTGGGGTCAGCTGACCACCCGCCACATCATCCAAATTTCGAGCAAATTAAGAAGTTCGCCGAAGTCTCCATGAAATGATTTATAATTGTGGTCCTAGAACTCGACTTGATATCCCACTTGATGATCAAGATCAACCAAGACCAAGAGAGCATCCAGTAAATGAGACTGATAAAGTATGTCATGTTTATGATGTTGCATATATAAGTAAAGATTTGCAGCAATGGCATCTCGTAGATGTGAAATTTATTCTTGCAATAATTTTTAAACCTAATAAATCTCTCAGAGAAAAAAAACCTCGCTAGTTTTCTAGTAAAACCTGCTATAAAAGGTAAAATAGTGTTAAAGGCTGGTAATTATTTATATAACTATTATAATGGAATCTAGTTATTGTAGCCCAAGAGGATATTAGAGAGGCAAAGCAGAAATTACTAAACTTGCTGAAGCAGCAAAAGTTTCACGTTCTTTTGCTGAAAATTGGTTAGCATAACAGGCAATATGGTGAATTTATCCACCACCACCTAAAAAAATTCAACACACACATTTTGATGGCAGCATCCCTAATGAAGTTCACCAAGCAGATATTTTGTTTTTACTACACGTGGACGAAAATCACGAACGTACAAATACCCATTGACTGTCGTTGACGTTGGAAGTAGATATAAAGAAGCGGAACAACTGTCAACAAAGACAGCATCTGAAGTTGCATCTGCGTTTGAGCGAATTTATCAACGTGATGGTCTACGATAGCCACAGTTATTACAAGCTGTTCATGGCAAAGAATTTCTTGGCGCAGTATTATCTTTGATGAAAAAATATAACGTTAAAATCAGACGAGGACATACTGAAATTCGTGATAAAAAATCATTGAACGATTTAATTGAACACTGCTGAGCGGTTATTTGGATATCATACGCAAAGGAAATATCGACTGACTTGAAGTCCGGTGAGAGATCTCGTGAATGGGTTGCAAGGTTACCAAGTGTTATATATGCATTAAATAACAATGAAATTAATCGTGCAACTTCGATGAAACCTTCTAATGCAATTACAAAAATATACATGTAGATTTAATGGGAAAAGTTAAAACTGAAATAACTTGGTATTCTTCATTGAAATCACTTGGTTCATGATACGAATGACAATTGATAGAGCGAAACAGCCAATACGGTGTACACAATTCTATACATTTCAAATAATGTAATATCTTATCAAATTTTATATGTATTACTGCATTCATTAATTTATTCAAAGTGATTATCGAAAATATCATAGAAATAAAGGAAAATTATGACATTATTAACCAGCATGCAAAACACATTTATGAAATAACATTTACTGAGAATAAACATCGAAGTTACCTCTTGATGCAGACCAATAAGTAAATATAAACTGTAGCTAGGCAATTTATTGTGATATACGCTAAATTATTAACAGGGACGATATCGATAATTTTAAAACCTCGCTTTTTTCTACGTTACTAGCGGTCATCTCTATGTATCCCTAGGTAGGCCATTAATAAATAGAACAAGAAATGTTTTAACTATAGAATTTGTACAGATAAAGATGTGAAATTGACACCTGTTATGTAATGGTCAGGTGTCGCGGTTTCTCCTATCTGTTTGTATTTTGTCGACTCGAAGAGAGAATACAATAGAACAAGTAAAGGGTGCCAGAAAACTCACTGCGGCTGCAATGAAATTACGTGATTGACTTCCATTAGACTGATTGGATTTTCACTAGAACGTGTGGAGATCTATCAGATTCAGTGAACTTCCAATACACTTTTTGGTTCTTTATTCCCTGTCATTTTGTCCCCTTACACCCACATTGAGTAGGCGATCCGTAAAACAGTATGCGTGTATTGTTTATAAACGTTAATAACTCTTACTTTACAGTTTGTTTGGGGGGGGGGGGCAGGACGGGGGTGGTCGTTACATTCGAAATTTATAAAAAAAAAAAAAGTAAAAGTAAGATGGTATTAAATATGAAAAGGCCCAAAGTCGATTTTGATGAAGGCTAAGCTTAAATGTACGTAGGAATTTCAACGTCATACTACAACTTGACTACGAGTAATTGTCACTTGATGCCCGTAAAATATTTGTTTAAAGCGAAAATAGCAGGTTTACTTCATGTACGTATGTATTTTGATTCTTTCACGTTAATTTCCTTTGTAACAAAAGACTATTTGCTTTTGCTACCGATCTAATTAAATAGTATAAGTACAAAGTAATGATCTATCCTTGGAACAAATCAGTTTTCATCCTTTAATTTAGTGCAATAATTAAAGTAATCATTTGTTGTATAATGTGACGTATATGTATATATATATATATATATATATATATATATATATATATATATATATATATATATATATATATATATATATATTATTGTAGTTCATAACTCCTTGTTTCTTGTTACTCAATTTCTTAGACACTGCTTTAGTTTATTTGAGCATTCACATTCATCATTTGTGTTAACACCCACAAAACGTTCATTGTGATTGTATTAAGTTACATTTCTTGCTGATTTTGCTATGACAAGTTTTGGATTATGTACTATGCAGGCGAAGCAAGGGAGACATACCATTCAACAGATGTTCCTGTTGGTTCACTCATTGCACAGATCGTCATATTTGTATCCCGTTTAAAGACGAACAAGGGAGACATACCATTCAACATATGTTCCTGTTGGTTCACTCATTGCACAGATCATCATATTTGTATCCATTTTAAAGACGAACAAGGGAAACATACCATTCAACAGATGTTCCTATTGGTTCACTCATTGCACAGATCATCATATTTGTATCCAGTTTAAAGACGAAGCAAGGGAGATATACCATTCAACAGATGTTCCTGTTGGTTCACTCATTACACAGATCATCATATTTGTATCCAGTTTAAAGACGAAAAAGATATGAATCTTTTAGATGGGTTGAAATCAATAAAGGGAAATACGGTACAATCGGTGTATACAGTAATTCGTTCGCGTCATCTTGTATTAAAATTTATATGCACCATGCGATCCATAAGAAACTTCAGGCACTATCTAAATTCTAAATCAGGCAATGTGTTTGGGAAACATTTCTAATCATCCAACCGTATATTGTCGTTATTCGTGCTTCACTAATTGAATAACAAATAATTATTCATTAATTCCCTTCCTATAACTTTTTGTAGTTTCTCACTGATAAAGTGGAATTCAAATATTTCACTAGATTTGGCGTCACAACATTCTCAACTAAAACATGGCCAACCATGTCAGAAAACGGTTCCTGCAACGGAATGACGGTTGAAGGATGTATTAGGTAACATAGAGAACGATTATAAACAGTTACAAGAAAAATTAAAGCTATTTATTCACATATAATTATTTCTGCGTCGTTTTTAGCATTGATCATACAAGCAGGTAATAACATTTGATAATTTATTCAGATACCGTAAACAGTACATTAGACTTACATTTTCTTTATATCCATTGTATAATATTGATGAAGAACGATTCCTAATTCTGTCAAGCTGTTGGAAGTGCTTTATCTACAATGAAGTAAGATTTTTGCACTATGACTAAAAGCTCAGCTCAATTTTTTATACTCAGTTAAATGTAAACTTATCAACATAACCACGAATCAGAAAGTATATGAATCAACAATTATTTTGTTGATTCTAGTTTTCCAGTACAAAACACCTGCTCAATACGGCGTCTTCACCACAGGAGGTCACCTTATTACTGGCAGTTAAAATTATTTATTCCTACTTTACCATGCATCACCGTACTGGGTTTTCATGAAATGAATAAGGAAATTATCAGATGTATTATGCATAATGTGCTAAACAGTTTCTTTTCTTGTAAGTTTCACTATATGCAGTTTTGTGTTTCACACGTATTCATGTGCTCCTGTTGATTTATGTTTCTTTTTTTATTCTTGTACCTGTTAAGTGTCATGGTTCATGGGATACTTTAAAGGCGAATACATCTTGTCAAGATACTGTTAACTTAAATAGTATTGGACACCAGAATGTAGACAGTTGAAATTAAATCTTCTGATAAATTCAGTCATTTAACTATAAAAGAAACGGATATGGGATACGTTGTTACTGACAAAAAAGAAAAGCCAATTGTTGTACCTGGCATCGCAAAAGGTATCATACGTTGAATCAAAACTTATATCAGTTCAAAGCGTCCTAAAATGGTTACAATGGATTCATTGAATGCTTTATTCATCAGTTTTACATTGGTCATTCCTCCTTTGACGCGAACAGTATGATTTCTTTTCAGTCTTGAAAGGTCAAGGAGATCGTAATATAAGTTGTGGTACAAGTTGCTAAATGTTGGAATAATCCTATATGGTTGCGGGTCCTTGATTGGCCACGTGCTAATCTTCTCTACCATTAAAATTTTGTACTTATTTTGCTGCCTATAAAGCCCGATCCTGTGGGGCGAATTATCAAAATTCTCTTAGGGACTCGACGAATTATGTTACCAGAAAGAAACAACATCGCTATTCTAACATAAAATGTGAGATGGAATCTCCTTATTGATTGTGCCAATCGATTGATTTTAGGTAATCCTTTTCTAACGCATTGTTCTCTCCCCATCAAACATCTCCGGTGGCCTAGTGGTTAGAGCATCCGCATCGGATGCGGGAGGTCGTGGGTTCGAATTCCGGCCGAATCATATCAAAAACTTTAAAAAATGGTACTAATAGCTGCCTCGCTTGGCGCTCATCATTAAGAGTTTAGTGTTAGGACTGGTCGACCTGGTGTCAGGATAATGTGACACATGTCTGCGGTATGATGCCCCAGTGTTATACATCACTGTAAACTGTCACACTGCAGACATCGTAGCGATATGACTGAAATATTGTTAAAGCATCGTTACAAATCTAAATCACAATCAAACACACACACACACATACACATACACACATACACCATAATCTGTGTAAAATGGCTGAACGTCTCGCAAGAGACCAACAGTTTAAGATCTACAAGAATTCGTTTGCTACGGAATTTCGAACCCAGGTCCGCGAGTAAATGGCGAGTGTGTGTGCTACGCACGAGCTTATATAACAATGATTCAGTGCCATCATTTATTGGTGATGCGTGCTTAGTCGTGACGGTATATGGGTTGGTGCGTGCATGCAAGGCGACGGGTGCCATTTACTCGCGAACCTGGGTTCGAAACTCGATAGAGTACGAACTTAATTTATCTAACCTGTATGATAGTATTGTTTGTATTAAACTATTATTTCTGCCCACTATTATCAAGATTCTAATATAGAATCCAGGGATAGCACAGTCTGTTCTGTCTGGTATATATTTATATATATAATACATACATACATACATACATACATACATACATACATACATACATACATACATACATACATACATACATACATACATACATACATACATACATACATACATACATACATGGCGACATTGGTGCACCTACTCTGACAATGCTGCTTACGCATGTCGGTCAGGTTTTGCGAGGTGACGTTGATATCTACGTTAGTTAGCAGGTATCCGGTTTTGTCTTGAAAAATCACACGCCCGTTTTTGTTTATGTCAACAAATATCCAGTTTTCCCAACTCAATCAAATATGTTTTGGTGACAAGCCATGTTAGATCCAAACTGGTACTACTATTACGACAGAACTTTTAAGTAATAAAATAACATTGGAATTTCCTCTAATTTTATTAAAACTAATTCTTCGTTAGAATTCATTTTTCATTAAATTAGATTGTGAGTAATTTCCATTCAAATATGCAGATTAACTTTATTTATTAGAGCTATATTCTATTTTGATAAAGATTCCCTCCTTTACAAACAAGTACAAATCTTCGTTTTTGTATTATACATGTGTATGTAAACTCAACAAAATACAGTGGCAAAAAAAATCGTAACGTTCTGTATGACGTAGTAAGCTAGGGTTCAATCGTTTTCCTGACATGAATATAAAGCAGATTAGGCAGCCAATGACGTAAAGAACATATACGATTCCATTAGGAGAGACTGGGTATCTCTGGGTCTTTCTGGTTTTGAATGATGCACGCGGAACAAGCATTACACTAACATGGTACACTTCATACCCAAGTCTTTTTCAAATATGGCCAGGTGTATCTTAAACCAGTCTAAATAATCCCACAAGTCGCTAGTATCTGCATTCTGCTGTTCCAAATCAGAAGAAAACTACGTCTTGTCTTTCATTACAGGTAAGAATCGTTTGTGCTCGTAAATTGCTTATAGAATAAGTACCTATAAAGTTACATATTTCTCTTGTAACCGTCCTAGTTTTGCAGCATTCTTGTGAGTTCTCTTTTACTTTTAATATTATAATGTAATGGAATGTTTTATAGTTTTTAAGAATTTATATTCATTTGTATTTGTGATAATTAAAATGGTGAAAAGATTAATTCGCTACCAACTTGATGCTAAGATTTAATTTGAGAAAAAAATGTTCTTTAAGTAATAAAAAATGATGTTTGGTAATCTTTTCCAAATTAGTATTTTATTTTAAATTGAGTAAAATATATTTCTTCAAAACGAGTGTTGCATTAATCGCAATTATTTTATACTCTTTGATTTAGTCCAGATCTAATTTTCTGTACTATGCTCTAAAATGCAGAAACTACATACATATATGAAGTTGGTAATCTTAATGAAAAAGTATAATATGCATTTTATGTATTTTTCAATATAAAAGCTTTATAAAGTGTATCCTTAGAATGTAGCATTATATATCTTTCTTTATCAATTATATAAATAAAGTCGGCTGTTCCAAATCAGAGGAGACTCTCGTCTTTTATTACAGAATCCTTGTACCCCTTGCACTACCAAGCTTCTCCAAGATATAGTCGTACCTACACTGTTATGAGTGACACCTTCTACTCTCTCTCTCTCTCTCTCTCTCTCTCTCTCTCTCTCTCTCTCTCTCTCTCTCTCTCTCTCTCTCTCTCTCTCTCTCTCTCTCTCTCTCTCTCTCTCTCTCTCTCTCTCTCTTTCTCTCTCTCTCTCTCTCTCTCTCTCTCTCTCTCTCTCTCTCTCTCTCTCTCTCTCTCTCTCTCTCTCTCTCTCTCTCTCTCTCTCTCTCTCTCTCTCTCTCTCTCTCTCTCTCTCTCTCTCTCTCTCTCTCTCTCTCTCTCTCTCTCTCTCTCTCTCTCTCTCTCTCTCTCTCTCTCTCTCTCTCTCTCTCTGGTCCAGGAACTACTGTTACAATTCAATGGTCTTAAACTTAGTAACAGCCAGAAGCAAAGCCAAAAAGTTGTGTAAAATATAAAAAATAATTTTCTATTTTATAGTTTATAAATGGAATTTTAAGAAGAACCTGCAGCATTATGATTTAAATCCAGAATAATTATAAAAGCCCAAAAATAAACAAATGTTCGTAATGAATTTCAAGTCCTCGAATGTGTTGACCTACCAACAGTCTTGATGTGGCACAATGACTTTGTCCAAAACTTCTATGATTAAATTCACAATAATCCCAGAACAATATTTTGCTTCAAGCATAATATGAGCACTTTGTAAATCCAAACAAATATTCATTCTCAAATTATTTCTAAGCACAAGATAAATGAAATATGCCACACCCTCGATTGGAACGAGTTTTGCAACCGCTGACGTTACAAGTAGCGGGCATTTCTTAATATTGAATTTTACAAAACTTGTTGGTCTTTGCTCTTTTCTGATACTTGATTTAAGACCATAACGCCAGCGCTAAGCGCATAGAAGGCTTTATATTATGAAACCCACAGCAGGTGATCACCAATTCGGTTCACGTTTGTCTCCATAGGTATACACTGGTGTGTGCAAAATGGTTAATGTAATGGAGGGATCGTAAATGGAGTGAACCTAGAATTGTAACAGTGATCTCACACTACTCTTTTAACACTAAAACATTTAAAACTATGGCTGTAGTTTGAAAAATACCAGCGCCTTGACCAATACAAGGTGAGTTAAAAAAGATAATGTCCGTCAACACAAATGAATGCCATGAAATCATTTATGTCTGTTTAAAAAATGAATAATTTTATATATTTTTCATATCGTTACAATATTCATTTTAGATGCATAATCCAGTTCCATTCGCTATACATTTTGAAAACAAATTGTGTTGTTCTAAGTATGTACTCGAAAAGTTTTATGTAGGTGGTGCCAGGTCTTTGCTTTTGTAGTACAAAACCGCACGTTTACAGTGCGGAGCACTTACTACGGAAGTTTATAATCTCTCAAATGGCTTTGAACCGCTGTGCAAAGTAATTTATTATGTTTATTACACGCGCATCGAGAAATTGGCTTTAAATTCGACCACTCCAGGAATATCTATGATAAAAAAGACATTCTTATGTATCATCTGTGCCTCGAATGAATATACTAAGTGAATGAAAAGATATATAACAATTTAATTCAAATCCACTAAGCAGTTTTCAAGATATGGCCATTTAATTTCAACATTCCCAGTAATAGACTGAGTGAAGAGAGTTGTAATAAAGGACTAATTGTGCCGTTACTTGATCATGTCACAAAGACAATACACTATGTAGCAAATACTGTAGGTGAATTCAGATCATGGACATACCAGTAAAATCAATTATTCTGGAACTAAGGCATTTTAAATTTACTCCGTAAAAAATATGTTGTTCAATACGGCAAGATATATCTTACTTTTTCGTTGTGTAACCAAACAATATATCAAGATACGTCCCCCGAGATACTGCTAAGAATTTACTTTTATGAAATCGAATTATATGAAAACTTTATAATACCCATCGTCCATTTTATTGACTTTAAATCGAATATCAATTTGTCGCATAACAGGAATAGACTCCACTCAATTTCCCCCCAGCCAATTCTATTGTTCTTAATGTGATTTCGGATGTGCAAATTAATCCAATTTAACATTAACTAAATTCTCGCCTTTGTGAAACAAATATTATATTAACTGCCCGTCTTGACACCAATCTCAAATTTTACATGTTTACGTATGTGCTGATGTTAGATCATATGTGCATTTTGTAGTTTTCATATTCAATATGTAAAGAAAAAGTTATACGAATTGTACGACGAGGTCTTACAAATAAATAGTAACCCATGTGCTAAGTCATCTTTGTGTGCATGTTGTGTCGTTTGGGTTGTGGTGGTGGTAAGAACAGGGAAAGGTCATATTTCAGGATCAGGTTTTGAATTCAACTATCATCAAATCTTATGTTGCAACTTTCAACTGAAATCGGTTGACCCAGGAATGTCGCTAATCAGCATCGGATTACTTGACCCTAGAATGACCACATCGTCAAGAAAGCTTCCTTTAAGGCAGGAGAAAAGAGAGAGAGAAAGGTAAAGATTACTGTTATTAATGCCAGGGAACCAGAGAACCAGACACTGGCCATCAAAGTGTCCCAATAAAAAAAAGAAAACGGGCATTCAAAAGCAGAAACAATAGAAGAATCCATTGCATGAAAGATATGGAAGAAGGCGAGACAAACAGAAGAAACAAACATATTGCCCTAACCAACATGTTACTGTTGGCTGTAATTTTAATGTCAATACTTGTAAATGATATGTCCATTTAGGAACTAGTTTTGACGATGCTTGAAGAAATTTAGTTTTAAAAAATACTCGCACAATTATAAATATAGAAGAATGATAAATAATTGCTTTGATTA